ATACTGAATAGCCAGCGGCCGGTCGGTCCCCAGCTTGGCCTGCAAATTTGCCAACTGTTGCTCCGAGAATTGGCCGTCTCCCTCGAACCCCATCAGAAGCAACTCTGCCGGATCCCCGGGCACCAGCCGCATCAGGGCGAACACCATGAGGGTAACCAGAAGGAGCGTCGGTATGAACAGCATGAATCGCTTTATGACGTAGGTGTTCATTGCGGCTCCTCAGTTGTTGCTGGCGTTTCGAGGCGGCTTGGTGAAAGGTTATGGGTTAGCCCTTGGTCGGAACGTCACGACTGGCAGGTTCAGCACGCCGGGTCGCACCAGATGCGGTCGTGCTTGAGCTGGGTCCAAAGACTGGCCGGCATATGGAAGTTCTTGATTTGCTTGTTCACGACCTGGTCACGGAAGCTCCAGTAGTACACCAGCAGCGGCCCCGGGTCTTCCGTAAGCATCCAATCTTCCATTTCGCGAAGAATTTCGGCGCGTTTCGTTCGATCCAGTTCTTGGCTTTGTGCCGCGAACCAGTCTTTGAACTGTTGCGGCGCTTCCCAACCTGACCACTGGATCCAGAGGCCACCTGGCATGAAAATCTTTCCGATGATCGGATCCGGCTCACCCACCAGCAAGGCCGTGCCCTGCGCCGCTATCTGGTAGTCCTGTTCCTTGTATCGGGTGATTCCGGTGGCGCTGTCGATGGGCTGTACCGTGGCTTCCCAGCCGAGATGGCGGCGTAACTGGTCGGAAAGCAACTGGGCCAAATCGACGTATTCCACCGCAGTGCGTGCCATGATGTTGACTTCAAACCCTTCCGGCACGCCCGCTTCAGCTAGCAGCCTCTTCGCCTCTGCCAAGTCTTCCGGATGTTTCCCGCCGTCCGGGCCGCTGCGGAAACCGGGCAGTTCCAAGGCTTCCGCCTCCGTCCGCCCGAACCAGGTGCCCGGTGGCAGCGGCGTACCAACCGGCGCGATCCCTCCGCCGAAAATTTCGCGAAACTCGCTGCGGTCAACCGCCAGATGCAGGGCCCGGCGGACCCGCACATCGTTGAAAGGCTCAATAGTCGTGTTAATCAGCGTTCCCAGCAAACTACTATTGGGGATCAGATAGACATCCACACTGTCGGCTTCGGACGCTTGCAGTTCCAGAATCTCGGTGTTGCTCAGATTGGTCACTGGCCACGTCGCCGTCAAGACCTGGCCGGTGCGGTAGGAACCAATGGCCGTACCCTTATCGGCGATGTAGTAGTGGATGCTGCCGTCAGTGTAGGGCAGACCCTCTTTCCAATAATTCTCGTTGCGCTCCAGCTCAATGGAGACGTCTTTGGACAGTTTCGTGGGTTTGAATGGCCCCGACCCCATACCGTTTTCGTCCCATTGGGTCTGAGGTGTGGCCACGCCGGATGGGTCGCGCGGCCACGCCTGGACACGAATCATGTTGAGCGTCGGTCGCAATCATCGAGACGAAATCAGGCGCCGGATTGTTTGGTCGCATTTCCCAGAGCCGTGTGTCGTCGAGGTTACGGGCTCGATCATCGTCCGTGCGTGCGTCGTTCATTTCCGCGCTACGTGTTTCTAGATTTGCATAGTTTTTCCTCTTATTTCTCCTGCAGCGCTGCTCTTCGCATCTCTCTTCTGAGGGTTTTGCGTGCCGGTTCTCCTCCGTATTCACCAGGCTATCCATGCTGTACGCGACATCCTCGGCGGTAACCGGAGTGCCGTCATGCCACATGGCGTTCTCGTAAAGATGGAATACGAAGGTAACGCCGTCCGCCTGCAACTCCCAACTCTCCGCCAAGTCTCCCACGATCATATACGGGCGTTCCGTTTCCGAGGGTCGACTCCATTCAGGGGACCGTTGTACGGCTCGTGGCCCGAGAATGTTCTGGTCACCTGGTTGGTGGAACCTCATGGGGTGATGGATGGAGATCAGGTTGGGGAAAGCATAATCCTGCATCGGCACTATCCCGCCGTATATGCCACGATCCGAGGTTTGCGGCGCCCCGCTGGCCTGGGCCGGCATGGCGGTCGGCGCCGGGGAGGGTCCTCCTGAACGGTGCCTTGCTACCCGGTGCTGGGGGCCGGTGCGGCACTGTCCCCTGCTGGAACGGTGCTCTCGCTGGGAGCCGTCGTGTACTCCTCCAGGCCACCAGCACCGTAAGCGCGACGTGTCCATCGCCATCATCTATGATTTATCCGAACCATTGAGACGAGTCCAACACGTGTTCACGGTGCAAACCCCCTACGGCAGCGAAAGTCGTGCTGCCACTCTGGGTTTGTCGGTCTCATATGGCGAAAGCCTAACAATATCGAATTAAAGGTGTCAGACGCCGAAGATATGTAATTGATCAGTGTGAATTTATTCACATGTGACTGACGTTTTTCGTAATATCTAGCGCAGCGGGGATCGACGGTGACGTTGCGGGGTGTACGCAATACCACAAAGAACGGGGGAGCCGGTTGTTCCACCGCGTGTTCCAGCCAATTCAGTCCCAACAACGACTTCTTGCCGTCGCGGGCGTTTCGGGCGGGGCATCAGCCCCGATGGTCAGGCAGCCGGTCAATGCTATTTTGCGTGCGGTGCTGTCAACCCGGCGTAGTCAAGCGCATCGGTGTTCCGGCCGGCGTAGGAACGCCGCGTGCTCGACCCAGCCAGGTCCGAAGTCAGAGGCGGTAAAAGCGGGTCACGCGTTCCAGCTGCGCACTGGCCGGCCCTGCGGCAAAGTCCGTTGGCCAACGGACGCCATGCCTGTCGCCGGTGAAGTTGTCCAGTGCGTTCGGGGAGATCGGACCAATTCAAGAGAAGGGCGGGTTGCCAGGGGCGCTCCCGCTGCTTCTCCCACTGCGAGCGCGTCTGGCGGTCGGCGATCGCTGCTTCTATGGCCTGCCCTGGTCTCCCGGTCACGGTCCCTCAACTTCTCCGTAAACGCAGGCCGCTCGCCGTGGGCGCAAACCCGGCAGAGCCGGAACATGAAGGTAACGCCAATTCTTCCACAGCATCCCGGGTTTCATGTTTTCCAGCATGTCCAGCGGGCCTCCAGCCCGCGTCTCTGGACAGCCTGTTAAAAGGGAAGCCGCTCCCCTCGTTCGGTTATCCCCGTGGTCCGCTCGGCGAAGGGGGGGACGCCGGAATCCGGGCTCCTCGCCGTTTGTTCACCACTCCGGTTCGCTGATCCGCCCTTCCAGGTACTGGCCGAACCGTGAGTCACACCCGCTCGGCTCCGTAAGTCGGTTCTACCAACCGAGGGTCGGCGCCTGTTGTCGAATATGCCGGTTGCGGTGGCAGCGTAGCAACGATTCTATCCGGCCCAGCAGCGGGCCGATGCATGTCTCGGCGGTCATCGTTTGTCGGTACATCTTCACCGCAAACAGGTCAGCTCTTGCGGGGCCACGTTCGGTTGTCGGTTGGCGTTCCCGGGGAACCGTTGAACACCCCGTCGTTTCCTCCGTGTCTCCCATCGGCGCAGGGCCCACCGCGCTGTCATCGCCTCCAGGTGCGGCCCCAACGCAGCCCGGGTCCGGGGCGTGATAAGGTCACGTTGTGTGCCCGCCCGCGCCCAACATCCGCCGAAGTATCCGCGCCACGCCGCGCTGCCCATTACGACCGCTATATCCATGCGGCGTCGCCTCCTGCGCCTATGCCTGTTTGTCTTCAATACTTTCACCACGGGGTACGAATTCCTCCCGCAGGTCTTTTTGAGCACTTTGCCCATCACGTTGCGCGGGCAATGTCGTCCACTAACACCACCGCGAAACCGGGTGACCGCGTGGGCCGCGGTTGAACCCTGCACCGGTCTCGGGCATAAATCGATGAGGTCCTTTGCTCGGTGACCCCGCGGTTCCGCCGCCACGGACACTGCGGGTCTGACCTCTTCGTCGGCCCACTCAGGTCCTCCACGCCAATGACCGGCGACCTCGCGACCCCGGATGTTCCTGG